TAAAATTAAAAGGGTTTTCTTCTAACGGCAAAATTTAAAAAATTTCTTGTGTCTACATTTTTAACTATAAAAAGGTTGCTGTGTTGCTAAATGTGGTAATTATTGTATAGGTTTCAGCGTTTTCTCCAGTCTGTAATTTTGCCCGATTTTGGAAAATGTTAATATTAGTGCTGAGTCAAACTTGTAATGAGTCGTTTTTTTCTTTTTTTTGCTGCTCTGGCTCGAAATTATTTGTAAATTGGACTTTTTAGAAATTGTCAAAATTGAAATTTGAAAAAAAAAGAAAATGATGAATGGGTTATTTATTTTTACTATGTGAATTCCCGTTACTATTACTATCCATCTGTTCGTCGTATTTCGTGCAACAGAAAATTTTTGTTCAAAACGTCAGGGTTGAAAAAAAGAAACAGATGCTTGGCTGGAAATCGTGTTTCACTTTAGATGTTTTTGTGTGGTGTCTGTTGTCTACTGTCAGATCTTCGCCTTACTCTGGCGGTTTGGACCGTTTGAAATGGTCAGAAATGACAAAAAGCTGATGGCATTGCCTTGGATCGTCAAAGTCTTGTCACACAACGTGTTAGTATCAATATCAACTGGTCACGAGACTGAGATTCAAAAGACTTTTTATTAATTTAAATGATTTTGACCGTTCGAGAAATGTTGAATTACTGGATAAGAAAAAATTTTCCTTTCGAGAAAACAATGATTATGTTAATGAAAATTTTCTTTTGGAGAAAACGAATAAAATTTAAATATTAATCTGACAAACGTAAAAAGATCTTTTAAACAATTGAAATCCGTTTGATGGCTTATCCTTAGACTTAAAAAAAAAGATTTTTGATTGACCTTTGACCTGGGATAAATGAAATACGAGGAAAAGAATTTTTTTTTTATCAAGAAAAAAAAGCTTAATTAACAATTGAAATTCGTAAATAACTTTTGATTCACAAAATTATTATCACGAGGATCCTTCTTTATAAAGAATCTTTTTCCTTTTAATCAAAAAGAAAAAGACTTGGTTGATTTTTTTAACAATCGAAATTTGTAAACTTATTCTGTGTATGAAAAAAATCTTTTCAACTGATCCATCCGATTGACCTTTAATCATAGATGAATAAATGAATGGAAATAAATATTTTTACTCGCTTGCTTTTTATCTAGTATTAAAATAATTTCTTTGATTTATTAAGAGGTAAGCCAATTCGCCTCTTGAACATCCTTTTGTCTAGTATACCCCCAAAAAAAAAAACCAATGATGTCATCCATCTTATCATCAATTATGTTCACCAAGCCAGTCAGCGGAACACGCACAGCGGTTGGGTGGCCATGTGCCACGTAATTACAAAGCGTTCAAAGTAAATGTTACTGACAACGTCATGATTTTTTTAAGTTTAAATTTAATCAATTGATTATCAGGCCTGAAATAATAATATTATAATTAGACTTTTTGTTTGAATGTTCGTTTAAAATAATCTTTCAATGCATTGGTAGGTAAGAATAAAAATAGTTTAATTTTGAATGGCTTACTTGGGTACAAAATTCTGATTGACTAATACTAATCTGTATTCACCAAAACTCTGTTGCATTGAGTTGAGCTTCTCTTCCTGGAAGTTGTTAAACATTTTATCTTTTGAGTTTGTCTGCTCGAGAGTAGATGTCAATGCCGTAAATAATATTTTGTTTTTTGTGGATGAATCGAATCTTAAACGTTATATATTTTCTTTACCATCATTTTTTCATTACATGAATCAATCAATCATTTATATTCAACCGCTTCCTTTCATTGTTTTCAGATCATGTAATTATGTACATCTGTCAAGAAAGGCAAACCATCTATTTTTCGAATGGGTTTGGGCTTTTAATCTTTATTAATGACATCAGGTTTGTTTATTGTTCATGTAATGACTCTTTAATCATTGAAAACGAAATAAATAAATTTTTTGCCCAACGAATAACGACAATGTAGGGTATGCCTCAATCCTCGCATTTGAACGTAACGTGTAAAGCCAAATTGTAAAATGCTGTTTCGGCACTACGTGTCTCAACCCTCGATTTCAAATACAACGTAAAAAGCAAAACCGAGGTACCGATTTTTTTTTGGTCGGGGTAGCGGGTCTATTTATATGTTTTCGTAGAATTTATTTGGCTACTCGATTAATACACCATTCAAAGAATATTATCGCGCTATAATGCTACTTTGTGTTTCACGAGACTCACTATTACGTATCGGTTTAAAAAACTTGTTTTTTATGTAATACAATGTGGCGATCTAATAATCAATTTGATTATCAAATTGGAATATGAGCATGTATGCTTTCGGAAAAAAACTACATCATGTAGTGTAATATGAATCATCTGCCGACATGGAAAATATTGTTGAGATACTGGAACATAAACTTTAATAGAAACACATGATAAATCCTGAAGTTTTTCAATCCATGCATGTCTTTTACCTTGTTGATTGATTCGTTTAAATGTTTATTACATTTTAGTTGTTCACACTTATTACATATAGCATTTTCATTATACGTTTTTTCCATATTGGATATGGTAAACTGCTAAATTTTCTTTGTCCAAATACCAAGTTGTCTCAGCTTCTAATGCTTTTTCAAATTCTTATCTTTCTATTTTATTAAGTTTTTCCTATAAAAAAGGCTTATTTTCAGGAAGTTATTTTGCAACATCTTCAGGTCTTTTACTACTACAAAACTTGCTGGGCTATTTATGACATAATTAATATATTTTAAGTCATAAAGATCTGACACATGTTCATGTTTCATTTTCCAATTCTACCAGGTCATTATCAATATATTCCATGGGGTTTCTTTTTAACAAAGGTGCTTCAATGCAAGGCTGGCTGTTCACAAAAAATTACAATTTTTACTCTCTGAATGAATGTCTTTTAAAATTGCAACTTGGTAATTCCTTTCAAGTGAAATAGCTTTACCACATTTGCAAACGACTTGTTTAGTATTGATAAATTAGCAAATGAAGGAAGTTTTTCATTTTTATTTATTTTTTTTAAAAAAATCTGTCACTAATACTAATAATATCGCGAATTATAGTGTGACAGATAACCTTTTTCATAGCTTATCGCTATGTTTACGAATCAGCATGACCAGTGACCTTTTCTTCTTCTTTATTATTAATGTGAATATAAAGTGGGCGGTGACATTTTTAGAATTTTAAAGTACTATCGAAGCATAGTGTTGACGGTGACATTCAATAGAGTTTTCCCGTTCCTGTACAAACTCTTCAAGAAGGTGTTTGAGTCGTGATTCTAAACAATAAATTGTTTAAAAGAACATTTGTAATGAGTCAGCGAGAGTAGAAGTATTGATAATAAAAATATAGAGGTTTTAACAGAGTAGTAGTCCAAAAAGCAACAAATTACTTTGAAAGCATAAAAGAATTTATATATTTATTTATTGATTTAATATACTTGTTACCACACACATATAGCTCCTAAAAAAGAAAATAAAGAATAATCAATGAAGAGATAGCTTCTAGGAAACAATTTCCATTTCAGAATGCCTTTGTGCTCACAGTCCATAAAATACAGATTTAACTTACCTGGCATAACTGTTTTTATAGATGAAAATATTTTTGCAGAATACATTGCATTGAGCAGAGTTAAACCTTGCAAATCTTGAATTTTGACTTTCCCAAATCAAATGCTAATGAATATATAATAGGCATTAAATAATCTACAATATTTTTTCACCTTTGCTTTGATCCATTATATTAATATTATTAATTTCTTGATATTCAAATTCTTGTTCAATAATTCTGCTACGCTTCAAATATATACTGTATTTTTTCGCCGTCGTCAACTCACCCACATCCACTGTAGAAAAAGCGGAATTCACAAAGATTTTGCATTGAGCATAACAACTGTTTTTACAGTATTTTGACAATAACTTCTGTAATATTTCACTAGTATTTGTAAAACGGCTGTTATACTCAATGTGAAATCTTTGTGAATTACATTTTTTCTACCAGCAATCCATTTAGATTGAAAACGTTTTTTCCGTCCATCAAACTATTGTATATCTAATGAATCAATGGCACTTTTAGTTTTCAAATATTTGTTTTTTTATCAACGTTGGTGATAGTTTCAAAACATTTATAATTAAAAAAGTAGAGGCAAGCAATATTTTCATGATTTGTGAAGGTAAAGAACAATCTTAAATTTTGTCTTGAACTTGAATTATTTTCATTGTAGTTGGATTATTAAATTTAAAAGAAAAACGCAAAAACCTTTTAACTTTATAATATTTACACGCTCAAAGTATAAAAAAAAAATTTTTTTTGGAATTTTTCAATATTTTCGTAAAACATTAATCTTTTGTATTGAGAAAATGAGTAGCGTGAACATATAAAATTTGCATGAATACATCCAAAGTGAAAAGGCAAAGAAGAAGAAGAGAGGGTGAAGAGTTAGGGCAAATGGAAAATTAGAGGGGCTTATAAATTATTTCCATACACCTTCTACTTTGTTCAAAATACAATTAGAAGAAGAAGATGGAAGAATACACCGTTTTATATTCTGTCAATAATAAAAAAGTTAAATAACAATTTAAAAGGTGAGAAGGATGGTGCAAAGAGGTCATTTAACTGTAATATTATGTAATTAAATCGCGGGCTGGGGTATGTTAAGCATGGCGATGTTTTGTCAAGTCTCGTGTTTAAATTAAATATTTAATGTCTGTTTTTGAAGTTTATCGTATGTTGATCATTGAAATATCCTCCTGCTGGTAATACACAACCTTTAGGCGTGGCCGTTTATTATACTCTATTAATTAAAGTGAAATCCTGAATTCGAAATTTTTGATAATTAATAAATTTATTTATTAAAGTATTAAATGGTCGTTTTCCAATCTTATTGCCATAATTTATAAATAATAATAGATAAATAAATAATAATATTTTATAAATAAATAAATAATAATAATATATGATAAAAGAACCATTTTGAATATTTGATTTTTTGAAAATGGTTAATTTTGATTAAAATAAAATTTATTCAACTCGGCAAGATTTCGTTCAACGTTGATTTGAGAAGTTTCTAACTGTTCTATACGAGTAAGAAGTTTACCCAAAATATTATAAATATCATCATTGCTGATTTTATTACCATTATCAAAAGCATTGTTTTGTGATAAAGTGTTACTTGCAAAAATCCTATGGTGTCTATTCTGTTCCATTTGATTGATACGTTTTTCAAGACGTGTCAAAAGCCAAATGATATTGTTATTGTTTTCGTAAGAAGGATTATTTAATAACGGAGTTGAGGCTAAAGGTCTCATGTTATCGACATCGTTGCCGGCAATATTTGTTGTAGCGCCGATGTTTGCAGTAGTGTTGTTGATGTTGGTAGCAGCAGCGAAATTTTGATAATTTGGAAATGTTTGAGTATTTTGTTGTGATGGTGGAAATTGTGGTGGTGAATATTGATTTGGATTATAGTTTGTGGTATTACCTAAAGTACTTTCATTGGAATATTGATGAAAATTATTGGTTAGAGGAAGCGTAGAGAAATCATTCTGATTATTAGATGGAAATGCGTGTGTTAATTTAGAAAGGTCTCTATTATAATTATAATCGCTCATAATTATAATAAATATAATTTATGATATTCGATTTTATGTTCTTGAATTTTTTTATTTTTTTACTCTATGTAAATATATATGTGTTTTTGAATTTTTTTATTTTTTTATTCTATGTAAATATATAGGATTTTCCTTATTATTATTAGTTTTTTTATGTAAATTCCAATGTCAAGCAAATTGCAAATTGACTAAATATGGTTAAAGTGTTACACCACATTTGCCAACCTGCAGATGTTTCACGGATCACGAATTACTTTATTTAATTCATTTTTAGTTTAATCGACTTTTTTCCTTGATTGCATAATAATAATTGCCCTCGCCATCTTTTTTCACTTATCATTGTTATCAGTCATTGAAGAATTCGGAATGACAGATTGTTGATCCCAAATAGAATAATTAATGTATGCCGTTAACTTCAATTAGATCACGTTATTGTTGTTACTGATATTATTAATTATTAATTACAAATTATACATAAAATGGTATCTATCTATCTATCTAATATTAAACATATGTATATATATGCGCGCGTGCGTGCGTATATATTAACTTATAAGGAACACAATAACAGCAACATCTACTATTTTATTTGTACTCTTAATTATCTATCAATCTGAACTAAACCAATCGAATCGAATCAATCAGTCTACAAGCTATATATACACAAATAAAGGAAACAACATTTCCCAATAAAAAACTTGTTATAAAGCAATATTTGTAATCTTATCAATACCAAAGTGATTGTTCCTCTTAATAGAAAACCAGATATTGTTTCAATTTGTACAGAATATACGATACTACAATACGACATAATGATAATACTATATAATGGTGATGATGGTGATGATGATGGTGATAAAAATACTGCAGTATTTACTTTCTTTATCCCTGTTGGAAATGATAAATAAACAAATGCATAAAATAATAGGATAAAATGGAAAGTAGGTAATAACGCCAAACCCATTTTTTATTCAATCGCTTCATCCGCAATTGATTAATCAATAGACAATAATGTAAAAATATAAACAAAGAAATTATTTAAATATTAAATACCAACATGTATGTCAGTATGTAATTTATTTTTATTTTTTATATAAAAATTAGATTGTTTTAAGAACGCGAATTTTCGGGGTTTCAAAATTTATCGAATTGGACAATTTATTGTTTAATGTATATTAATATAATGTGGATCCATTTACAAAAATCAGCATTCAATTTCCAAATTTAGTTAGTGCAAAAATTTTTTACCTAAATATAGTGAAAAGATTCAACGGTACACAGATCATCATCAACTGTATTTTCAGTCAGTCAGTTCCGTCGTCTTTTCTTCATACACAGTAAGTCTCGGTATAGCGGACCTCGGTATAGCGGATGTCTAATAAAACTCTCGGTTTAACGGATCAAAGCTCAGAACCGTCTATAAGTAAATTCTCTCGGTTTAACGGATTTACTAATTAAATCTCGGTATAACGGATTTTTGAAATTTTTGTTCTAATTGCCCAAATTATCCGCTATACCGAGACTCACTGTGTACTTTATTTTAGTGCGCTGGCATTTTTTTTGATTTCGACTTGAAGATAATCCAAGATATCAAACATTTAGATTGGCACCTTTGTTAGACAATGATTGTAATAACCATGTTCACACGTGAGTATATATACTACAATTATTCAAATTAGTATAGTTAGTGTAATCACAATATACGTAATTGCAAAAAATGGTTTAGATGGTTTCCTAGAAGTAACAAAGCCTCTTGGAAGGTGATGATCGGTTATTTCGTAAATTAAAGAATGTAATTAATACCATTAGATGAAGTTTTAGTAATCAAAGGATACTATTTCATGCTTGATATAGTAGTAATACCTACCGAATCTAAATAGGATACAAGGTCGAACTTAAAAGAGTTAATTTTTGTATATGAAGCAAGAAGATAACATATAATCTCTTCATATGGTCCACTGTTTGTTCATTACATTCAAATGGCCGAATTGCTAAATAGGGTTGTTCAAAAAACCCCTTCAAGCTTGGTTCTATTTCTTGGAGCAATCTTCGTATTTCATCAAAATCGTATATAGGAACTTCTTTATTTGAACATTCTCTTTCATAAAAGATTTTGGTCATCATCTTCATGTTTATTTTATCAGTTGTTACATTTTATTTTATTTTTTTGATCTTATTTCATGTTTGCTTATTAACGTTTTCAGTTGAAACCTTTTTATCAGTAGCGCCAACATCTAGTCATTATAATCAGGATCTTTACCACTTCTACCTGTTGTTTCCGTTGTTGCTATTGATAAATGGAGGAAGACGACATCAAACGTGTTTGTGAAGAGAAAGTTGACAAGGAAGAAGATAATTCTGAAGATATCCATTGGAGAATTTGTTGTGGTTGATGATGATAATAATAATAAACTGTGAAATAATCTTGATTCTATACTCTTCAATCTTTTAGTGATGAAGGCAACTTTTGTGTTTTTTATTTGTGCTGTTGGATGATAATGATAAATTCCTTGGATTTAAGAATGCCAATTTGCAACAATAGCTTCTCGCTTCTCACTAACATACAAGCCTTCAGGAATTATGAAACGTGATATTTTTACTCGTGTAATCTGCTAATGATACCCCCATGACTTTTTTTACCCATGTCTTCTTTCGAAAAGCATTGTACACTTGGCGTGAAATTTTAAACATCATCTATCTTGATAACTTCATAATCTCTTCGGAAAATGTCATTGCCAATGGCAAGGATTCTTCAGACTCCTTCAGATCATTGGTGCGTATGTCGAGTTTGATTGTTTGGTGAATTACTAGCCAATAGATAATATGAGAGAGGATATAATTATTTCATTGAAATATTATCATTCGTTTATTTGAATTGTTTATCATTCTCTTATTCGAATTATTCATTATTATTATCATTCGTTTTGTTCGAATTATTCGTTTATTCGGTTCGTTTGAACTATTCGTTTTATTCGAACCATTCGCTTTGTTTGGGTTGTTCGTTTATTCGTTTCATTCAAATTATTACTCGAACTATTCGTTAATTTGTTTATTCGAATTACTCGTTTTAATCGAATTATTCTGACTAATCGAATTATTCATTTTATTTCGATCTATTCATTTATTCGTTTAATTCGAACTATTTGAATTATTTCGTTTATTCATTTTGTTTAAATATTCGAATTATTCGTTTTACTCGAATTATTCATTTATTTGTTTATTCGAACTATTCGAATTCTTTCATTTATTTGTTTTATTTCGTTTATTTGTTTTATTCGAATTATTCATTTTATTCGAATAAACTTTCAATGTAATTCGAATTCATAATTCGAATAAACCTTATTCGAATAGAACCCTAATACTAGTGATTTTATTTGTTGACTCCAATAACTCAGATCACAACTCTTGCAATATTTATATATAGACCATAAATAATTACGGCATTACAGTTTTACAGTCTCTTTATATTTAGGGTGTCGTAGTTCAGGTATACAAGTCAAATTTAATTAATATTAATATTTTGTGTAATACATGTGGCTTTTAGAAAAAAAAATTTTTTTATCCACAAATAATTTTTAAAATGGAAAACACTTTGGATGAAAATAAACATCATGATGATGCTTCTACTGACAAAAATGATGATGATGAATATTTAAAGGAAAGAAAAATATACTATGGGGAATGTCCAACATGCTATAGATATAATACTCATAAGACATGGTGTCAATCATGTGATCCAAAGCTATTAACTGACGGATGGACTAGTGGGAATGGGACATTAGATGAGTTGATTAAAAGTACACAACTTAAAACAATTAGGTATGATAATGATTATTATCTTCAATGGGTTCCTTATAATGATTTAACAAATATCGAAAAGATTGGTGAAGGTGGGTTTGCAACTATATCCAAAGCTACTTGGTTAAATGGTCAGAAATTTGTAAAACATTTTATTGGAAGAATGAGTGAAGATAGAATTGTGGCATTAAAAAAACTATATAATTCACAGAATATTTCTGATGAATTTCTTAATGAGGTAAATTATTTTATTTTATATTTATTTTCAGATTTTTAAATGTTATTCTGTAACATATTTTTTTTATATAGTTCAAAAATTATGCTACATTTTTTAATAAATCATTTTTAAATAAAATTTATGGATTAACACAAGATCCAGCTACAAAAGAATATATCTTTGTAATGAAATACTTGGAAGATAAAAGTATTCAAGATTATGAAGATCCATGTATTAGATATGAAAAATATGGGGAATGTCCAACCTGCAATAGATATAACACTCATTGGGCATGGTGTCAATCATGTGATCCAAAACTATTAACTGAAGGATGGACTAGTGGCAATGAAACATTAGATAAATTGATCAAAAGTACACAACTTAAAGCAGCCAAGTATGATGACAGTAATAGTCTCCAATGGATTCCTTACAATGATTTAACAAATGTTGAGAAAATAGGAGAAGGTGGGTTTGCAACTATATCTAAAGCTACTTGGTTAAATGGGTATAAACATGTAAATTATAATAATGAAAGAACTGGCCAAGATAGGACTGTGGCATTAAAAAAATTACATAATTCACAGAATATTTCTGGTGAGTTTCTTAATGAGGTAAATTATTTTCTATTTCTATTTATTTTCATATTTTTTAAATATTATTGATTATTATTGTAATTAAATATTTTATTTGTTGTCTTAGTTCAAAAATTATATAAAGTTCCATGGTTACAATAATATAGTTAATATTTATGGATTAACACAAGATTCAATTACAAAAGAATATATTTTTGTATTGGAATATGTGGAAGATGGAAATCTTCAAAATTATTTAACAAAAAATTTTAAAAATTTAAAATGGACTGACAAAATTGATCTTGTTTATGAAATTATTATTGGTTTAAAAAATATTCATGAAAAAGAAATTATTCATCATGATCTTCACAGTGGTAATATTCTTCGAAATCAACTGGGCACATGTATTGCAGACTTAGGACTATCATGTCCAGCTAGTCAAACATCACCATCATCAAATAAAAATGATATATTTGGAGTACTACCATATGTTGCACCAGAAGTTTTAAGGGAGAAGCCATATACAAAAGCATCAGATATATATAGTTTTGGAGTTCTGATGTCTGTAGTATCAACTGGTCAACAAC